CTTGAGCGGCCTCCCTCAGCGCCGGTCTACGACGCGCCATCGCGTTTTAAAAGAACCCCCTTGCAACCGGCGAGAGGATCTCGAACCACATTGATCAAGTAGGAGCCCCCTCCACCACCACCACCACCACCCCACCACCACCACCACACCCCACCCCCTTCATCAGCAAAGCGCGGCCCATGGTCAACTTGGCGCCTCGGCAACGCATCGCTACACGGGGGCAGGCCCTCGCCCCATTCTTTCCACCGCCCCCCCCCCACGCCCACCCACCCATGCCAATTAAACACGCGCAATCACTTCAGATCAAGAAGTACCCCTAGCCTCTTGGGCGCCACTCTCCGCCCGCGCGCCCCCGCCCCACCCCCCATTACCTTCTTTCTGGCGCGAGAACGGGGGGGCGCCGACTCCGGCATGCCAGCGGAGTTTTTCGCCCCCTGGGCCACCCTCCAGATCAGCAACGATTGGACGTTGACGGGGGCGCGCGGGCCCAGACAGACTCAGTGGAACAGGTCCGCCATGAGAAATCCACGCTCGGGAGAACTCCCACACCCCTGATCGCTAACCTCCCCCACCTTCCTCGCCCCCTCTCTGCTCATAGCTCCTTCGGGGACTCGGACGGCGAACTGGGCGCCGCCGTGCTTCCCGCAGACCGCCGTTGTTCCCCGCGCTGCCTCGCGCGCAAGATTCCGGCGGGATCGCCCACCCGCGACTCCCTGCGTCTACTATTTCGCGCGCAGACCCGAGCACCTTCGTCACGTCGGCTGCCAGGACCGGCATGCTCACTGTCGATCCCATCACGTTCTTGCCCTCCATAATCCTGCAATGCCCCCCGCTCCTGGAGGCCCCCGCGGGTTAGACGGGGACGTGGGCCCCCGCGCTCGGCTCTCCGACAGCGCCGCAGGCTCCCGTGTCCAAGGCGGCAGCTCTTGTCACGACGAGGCCCCCCCGGCCACTGACCAGCACTTCTTCAACTTGAATTTCAGGCCCCTCCATGTCCATCGGCTGCAGCTCGGCGCATTCTTGCATCCAACTCCCCCCTCGTTCTGACGAGCTCCATGACCACGGTTTCTCCAAGTGGCGCCATGGCCGCAGTTGCCGCCGCAGTCAGGCGGCAAGTGCCTCCTATCGACCCGTAGCTTCACCTCCCTGTTTCTCCTCGCTCTTGCCTGGCACCGCAATGACATCCACTCGCGTGCTCCATTAGCCGGCTCCGACGCTAGAACGCGCCTCAATCAACTCATCTCGACGACGTAGCACCCCTGCCCGGGTAGGGGCTGCCCAAAACACTGCGCGGACTCTCCCGCGCCTCCTGCCCCCCTTTGACCTGGGGCGACCTCGCTGGCGCCCCTGCGGCAGAGCGATGCGATGCGACCTTTTTTCCGCCGCATTGGCAACACCCCCTCTAACAAATCCACACAAATCCTCCGTCACCTCCCCCATTCCATCCTGGGCCTCGGCCCCCTCGGCAACCTCCGGAGGGCCCCCCCTTGAAACTTCCTTTCACGCAACCCCCTGAGTTGGCCTTGACGCCTACTTGCGCCCCTCGATAACCTCTGGCACCTCGTACGCCCCACTATACACTTATGTTTCCTTCGGTGGTTCCTCACGCGGTGCAAACTCTGGCAAAGTGCCAATATCTTCAACACTTTTAGCATATGGGTTATTTACCATTGCCTTTGCATTTGCTCACTCCGTTTGCGTCGCCACCCTCACTCACGTCTCCCCCAATTCAAGTCCACAAAATGCCACCTTCGCCCTGCTAACGGGATTCGTTCACGTTCGTACCCCACTCCCCAATAATTTCATCGTTTACTTGGCCGATATCCATGGAGTCGTCATCCTTCGCGTCGGCGTTGCATCTTTACTTCCTGGCCCACTCCTCACACTGGACAAAGAATATCTCTACAGGTGTCAATGGTTAATGGTTCTGGCGTCTTGAAGCAGCCCTGCTGCCAGTCGACACCAATCACCAGCGCGGGTCATCATGACCCTCAAGGCAGTTACCGTGGACAGCAAGTGTAACGAGCATGCACTCCCGCACTTTCCAAGGGACTGTACCAGCGTACTACGTTGTTCCAGCTGCGTCACCACGTCGTTCACCTTCATCGGTTTCTCTGGATTCATGGCCAGATTCATTGTCAATGTAACTCATGCAACGGCCAAATACCAGGTGTATCTTCCGGTACGCCACTAGGCCGTATCCCTCGTGCGAAGCGTTGGGGGGTTCCCGGTGGTTCCGCCCATTCCAACTTGTCATTTAAAAAATACCATAGACCCTCGTCCAATTTCGCGTAGTCATCTTCATCGAGCTCGCATGGTCCCTTGGCGTCGTTCTCGTCTCTCTTGATTGTTGACGCTCCGGTGTATTCGTTCAGGGGTGACCTCCCAATTATATAAGTTGTATGAAAACATCCTCTTCATCGTCGGGCAACGCCCCGTCCACGATTTCAAGTATGCTGTGTTGTACGGCATTTGCGTTTAAATTGGGCGGGCGCGTCCAGCAACTTCTCGCTCCACTCCCGTTATTGAACGGCCTTTTGCTCTCTGACTGTATTGTTCTCCATCTCCTCCGGCCCTGGTGTTCCCAGCTGACTGCATGGCCTCCGCGATATGGTTAACATGTTCCGAAGCGTTCGATTGACGTTGGAGCTCAGTCTTGACATGTTCTGTAAAGCTGCCGAACTGTTATTCGCAAGACATGATCCGGCGGATGACCGAGATCAGCAGGGCACTCATGTTGGAGCTCAGCTGTAACATCGCCAACGCATCATCCTCATATCGGGCCGGGCGAAAGGGGGCGATAGCGAAGGGGGGGTTTGAGAATCAGCTCACGTAGCTGATTTTCACGGCGCCTCCCGGCGCCAGGAGGCGCCCATGTATCTAGGAATGGGCCCAGCGGCGGGGCCGAAACCAGCTGCATGCAGCAGATTTCGTAACCCCCCCTTTCCCTATCCCCCCCTTTCGTCCGGCCCGATCATAGGCCGTCCAAGTGCCCACGCGGGCGCTGCGCCCGAAGAATCACATCGGTTCTGCATGACTGGCTCTGAGGCCGGTCGTAAAAGACCTGAAAAATTCCGCTCTCGCCACCGGCGTGGCACTGGTCCGCGAACCGGCTCGTGCCTGCCCAGGCTACACCACGCCCCTCGGGCATCAGATAGCGTCGCAACGAAGCCCCGCCGGGGGCGGAGGGAGGAGGAGGAGGAGGAGGAGGAGGAGGAGGAGGAGGAAGAGGAGGAGGAGGAGGGAGGAGGGAGGAGGAGGAGGAGGAAGGAGGAGGAGGAGGAGCAGGAGCAGGAGGAGGAGGAGGAGGGGGAGGAGGAGGAGGAGGAGGAGGAGGAGGAGGAGGAGGAGGAGGAGGAGGAGGAGGAAGAGGAGGAGGAGGAGGGAGGAGGGAGGAGGGGAGGAGGAAGGAGGAGGGAGGAGGAGCAGGAGCAGGAGGAGGAGGGGGGAGGAGGAGGAGGAGGAGGAGGAGGAGGAGGAGGAGGAGGAGGAGGAGGAGGAGGAGGAGGAGGAGGAGGAGGAGGAGGAGGAGGAGGGGGGAGGAGCAGGGGGAGGAGCAGGAGGAGGAGGAGGAGGCCGGCTGTGCCAGGGTTCGGTGGAACTGCTGCGGCCGCCGCCGCGGCCATGGCGGGGATGCGGGTGCCTCGCGGAGTTGCCCGCGCGCACGGGAGCCCGTGGGGCGAGCCACGGGCTCCGCTGCAGTGGAAAATATGATAGGCGTTTTTCTTCCCTGGATGGACACAGCACTCAGGGCACGCAGCGTCGGTCACGACGACTGCCTGACTTACTCCAAAAGACGATCTGTCCTCACGGGGTCTCCGCGCACAGATCGTTCTCTCCTGCAAGCCCAGCTCACATCCTCACCCAGTCGCACAGCTATGTTCATACACCTCCTCGTCCTCCTCCTCCGAGATAGGGAAGTAGATGAAGGAAGCAAGAATCGGCCTCGAGCCTTGGGGTGAGGTGAGGAGTGGCGGGCCGTCTCAGAAGTCTCGGATGTCCCTCGGTCTTCTAAGAAGTTGTCTAAGCCTTCACCGAGGACACAGACAGCATCTCCGAAGGCGCGAGGGTGTCTGAGAAGACCCGCAAACCCCTTCTCACTTCCCCCCATCGCTCGCCGCCGAACCAAAGTGGAAACGGAGGCAGGGAGGGAGGGAAACGGAAGAAAAGGGAGCAGTGGGGATTGGAAGGGATGGGCCGAGAGTATCGTCACTTCGACGCCCTGGCCTCCTCGCGCGACAAGCACATGTGATGCCCGATGCCCCCGAAGGTATGCGGACTCGCAGAGGCAAAGGCGAAGTGCACGACGAAGCAAACCGCACTCCTCAAGAAGGCCAGAGGCAAGGGGCAAGGGCGAACGGGCCGCCGGGAGAGCGGCAACAGAAGCGAACGAGAGAGCCAACGGTGGCAGCGCGCGGAGCGCGGAGGAGCCGGGGGCTCGCTGCGCACAGAGCCAGGCAGAACGGCGGAGGACCATACTTGCTCGGATGTCCGCGCGGTTGTCTTGGATCGGCGCTGGGCCCCCCCTCCCTGGCACGCGGAGCGCGCCAGGGGCGGCGCCGGGGGCGCCGCTAGGGGGGCCCAGCGCCAATCCAAGAAATCAGCGCGGAGCTGCGAAAGGGTCTGTTCATGCCTCCTCCCTTCCCTCCTCCCTCCTCCCCTCTTCCCTCCCTCCTCCCCTCCCTCTTCCCTCCTCCCTCCTCGCTCCTTCCTCCCTCCTCCCTCCTCCCTCCTCCCCCTTCCCTCCTTCCTCCTCCCTTCTTTCGTTGCTCGGCTCCCTCCTCCCTCCTCCCTCCCTCCTCCCTTCCCTCTCCTCCAGCTCCCTCCCTCGGTGAAAGGGGGCCGTCTCATGGCCACGCACAGGTTCCCCCCAGGGGGACAGTGCCATGCCTCGAAGAGCCCAAGGAGTCCTGCTCCCTCCTCCCTCCTGCTCCCTCCTCGCCCCACTCGCACAGTCCAGCCTTCCTCGGGCCTTCGCCGCCCCGCGGCGGCGGCCCCGCCTGGGGCGGCGAGGTCGATGTCCGCCCGCACCTTCTGCACGAGCTCGGCCCTGGCCCCCTGCAGGGCAGGACATTGACGCGAGCAGCAAGACCGATAAAAACGGAGGGAGACTGTGAACGCCAAGTAGGGAACCGCTCCTTTTTCGGCGTTTCGACATTGGGCAGACAGGAGGGGGGAGGAGGGGGGGGACCTGGCGGCTACGGACCCCTGCCTAATGCCACTGTTTGCAAAAGTGCGTGCCATAGGGGAGACCCCACCTGCTTGAGACAGGCGCCAAAAACAGCCAAGATCTACTCCCTCGGGGGGGTGGAGGGGGGGCGCGAGGGGCCGCGCCGATCGGCAAAAGAATCCATGAAAAGACGATCACGCATCGTGGCCGTGTCTGTGCACGTGGATGCTGCACGCTGCCGACGGCAACTCGAGGCGACACGCGCCGCGCAGGGCGCCGGAGCACAGCCTCTGCAGCCCCCCCGCCCCGCTCCTGCAGCTCGCTGAGGGCGAGCTTGGCCTGCAGCTCGGCCACGAGCCTCTCGGCAGCCGCGGCACGGATCTCGGCGTCCTCCCCCGCGGGGTGGGGCCGAGAGGGCCCCGCGGCCCATGCACGTCGCACACCATGTCTGCGCTCCGGCTGCATCCTTTCTCCTCGTCATCCTCCTCCTGCTCCTCGCCCCCCGTTGACATGCTGCCACTGTCACCTCACCTATCCTGGCATGTCCTTAGCATTCGCACCCCCACCCAACCCACCGTCCCCCAGGATAAAGTCCAACCCATCTCTCCGCTGCGTAAGCTCCTCCGTCTCCTACAATCATCCCTCCATACTGGTAGCCCTGACATCCCCTGCTGATCTCGAGACAGAGAAGGTATCGGCTAGACAGTTGCACAGAGTTGCAACAACCGCCGAGTGTGACTTGTCCCCTGCGCCTCAACATCGACGCTTGATCCCGCCTGGGCACCGGAACCAAACATGATCCCGCAGACTCATCCCCTCCCGAGAACTTCCGAATCGAACTCCCCTTCCGTCGTCCTCACCACAAACATCACGATATCCGAAATTTCGGAGGATGGAAGCCGTCTAGGATTGACCCGTTACTGCTACATTGAATGAACTGCCTCCGTGAGACTCCCCAGAAGTATCCCGAGAGGCCCCAACAGGCATCCAAGAGGTCTCTGGCCCAAAAGAGCCCTCCTTGGCACGTTGACGGATAGCGAAGCGCCATCTGAGATGGCACGGTATCGCGGACTCCAAAAACACTCACGTTGTCATGTAGCAGATCCACGTGCTTCTTCTTCGCTCAAGGATCAGCATTGCTAACTTCTTCTTCTTCATCTCAGTCGCATCCTTAGGGAGTCGGGGGGGCCCTCCAAAGACGTCTTGGGAGACTCGCGGGCTGTACTCGGGCCATCTTCAGCCGCCTTGAGGCCCTTCGAAGGCGATGTAAAGACGATTGCAGAAACATCCTTTTAAACAAGCGATACTGAAGAGTGATCATTTGTTTGAGGATGTCCCCAGCGGAATCGCAATTTTCGGCAGCCTGGACCTTCAGTTGTCCGAATGTCGCGTTTGCCCCGTTTGGACGGTACATCTGCGTTCGGCATCAGCGGCAGCGGCAAGTGATACCATGACGATGTCGACAATATGTCATTGGTTGAAGATGTCACTAGCGAATCTTCAGTTTGGGCAAGGCCGAGACCACGGCGACGCCGACAGCATCTCACGTGTGGAGAGGATATCCCTGGCGAAGTCGCAGCTTGGGGCAAGACCGAGACCAGGACGACGTCGACCCTGGCGAAATCGCCACTTTGGGCAAACGCGATGTCGACGACATCTCACTCGTGTAGGGGTGCCCATGGCGGAATCGCCAGCTTGGGCAAGAGCGATGTCCACAACCGATCGCCTCGTGTGTGCACGCCCCTGGCGAGCTCCTCGGCCTGGGGGGGCGGAAAGCGGTCGTGCTGGAACCACATCGGTGTGCTCTGCTGGGCCGCCATGAGGCGTTCCGAGGAGGACCAGTGATATCCCAAATTGCTCGAGGATGCCCCGAGCGAAGTCGCCGCTTTGGCCACCACCACCCCTGGGGGGCGCGGCCTGCCAACGCCCTTCAAACTGCCTCTACGCTCACGTCTAACAGCTAACGGAGCGCGCGCCGGGCACGCGTTCCGTCAGCCCCGGGGCTCCGCATGCCAGCCCCCCCCCTCAAAACCCCCCCCCCTGGCTTCATTTCTCCCGTTGGGGGGCCACTTGCGAACCCTACCCCCACCCCCGACGAGTTCTGAGGGGAAGGGGGGGGTCACTGAATTCAGGAGCTCCCGAGCGAAGTGAACCCCATCCTCCCGCTCAGAGATCGTGGGGGGCGGGAGTAGGGTTCGCAAGTGACCCCTACCCGTCGAACGGATCGTGAGCTATGCGCGCTTTCCGTCCCCCCCTCGAACTCCCCCCAAATCTCACACATCCTGGCCAGCGGATCACACGTTTGGCGCGCTGCTCCAGCGACTTCCTCCCCCTGCGCTCGTCATGCGCGCCGTGCTTTTCACGGCTTGGATCACTCGGAGTGCTTCCGAGTGGCCCTAAAGCTTGTGGAGTCGGCAAGACGGAAATGCCTGGGCGAGCCGTGAAGCATCTTCGCCTGCCTCCAAGACGCCCAAGATGGCCTTCAAGATGGCCTCCAAGACGGCCAAGATAGCCCAAGATGGCCTCCAATCCAGTCCCAAGACGCTAACAAGACGGCCCCAAGACAGCCCAAGATGCACTCCAAACGGCACAAGAGGCCCCAAAGACGCCCCAAGAGGGCTCCAAAAGAACGGACACGAGGCCAAAACCATTGTTTCCAATCAGTTCGTCAATGATTTTAGCGTTCTCGGCTTTTCGGGCTTCCAACGCTCCAAGGCGACCCCGTAGGCCAAAACGATCGCCCCAAAACGTCCCAAGAGGCCCCGAAGGGGCCCGCAAGACGGCCCAATGGGGCCCCAAGACAGCCCAAGATGCCAATAAGACGTTCCCAAGACGGCCCCACAGAGCTCCAAGACGGCCCTATAGTGCCCAAGGGGGAAACAACGACTGCCAAGAGAGACCCCCACGACGGCCTCCGAAGGCCAAGAGGTCCCTTAGAGCCTCCCAGAGGTCCCAGGAGGCCATCAACAGACCCCTCAGAGGCCCCCAAGAGGAGGCTCCCAAGGAGCCCCCAGAAAGCCACCAGACGGCCTCAAGAGGCCCCTCCTCCTCCTTCTCCTCCTCCTCCTCCTCCTCCTCCTCCTCCTCCTCATCATCATCATCATCATCATCATCAGCAGCAGCAGCAGCATCAGAATCATCATCATCATCATCATCATCAGCATCAGCATCATCAGCATCATCAGCATCAGCATCAGCATCATCAGCAGCATCATCATCATCATCATCATCAGCATCAGCATCAGCATCATCCTCATCCTCATCCTCATCCTCATCCTCATCATCATCATCATCATCAGCAGCATCATCATCATCATCATCATCATCATCATCATCATCGTCATCATCATCATCATGAGCATCATCATCATCATCATCATCATCATCATCATCCTCATCCTCATTCTCATCCTCATCCTCATCCTCATCCTCATAATCAGCCTCATCATCAGCATAAGCATCAGCATCAGCATCATCAGCATCATCATCATCATCAGCATCATCAGCATCATCAGCATCAGCATCAGCATCATCAGCATCATCATCATCCTCATCAACATCGTCAGAATCAGCATCAGCATCATCATCATCATCCCCATCATAATCAGCATCATCATCATCATCATCATCGAATCATCGTCGTCATCATCATCATCAGCAGCAGCATCGCCAGCATCACAAGCATCATCACCATCAGCATCAGCATCATCATCACCACCACCATCATCATCATCATCAGCATCATCAGCATCAGCATCATCATCATCATCACCATCGCCATCATTATCATCCTCATCCTCATCCTCATCATCAGCCTCATCATCAGCATAAGCATCAACATCATCATCAGCGTCAGCAGCATCAGCATTAGCAGCAGCATCATCATCAGCATCATCATCGTCATCGTCATCAGCATCGTCATCAGCATCATCATCAGCATCAGCATCAGCATCAGCATCAGCAGCAGCATCATCAGCATCATCATGATCAGCATCATCATCAGCACCATCAGCATCATCTCAGCATCATCGTAAGCGTCCTCATCAGCATCATCATCATCACCTTCGCATCATCATCATCATCAGCATCATCTTCTTCATCAGCATCATCATCATCATCATCATCAGCATCAGCATCATCAGCATCACCCTCACCATCATCATCATCATCATCATCATCCTCATCATCCCCCTCCTGCAGCAGCAGCAGCATCTCATCCTGCAGCAGCAACTCATCCTGCAGAAGCAGCATCTCATCTCTTCTCATCATCATCATCCTCATCAGCATCTCATCCTGTACAGCAGCATCATCAGCATCATCAGCGTAAGCATGATCATCCTCATCATATCTCCTCATCATCATTACCATCAACATGACCATGACCAGCATCATCAACATCAGCATCATCATAATAATCATCAGTATCAACATCACAATCACCATCATCATCATCATCATCATCATCATCATCATCCGCCTCCTCATCCTCCTGCTCCTTCTCCTCCCTCTCATCCATAATTCTCTTTCCCTCCCACGTGTTCCCCAAGAGGTTCCATAAAAGCTCCGGGAACACACAGTCCAATAAATTGGCCGGGCTTTGGCCCAACGTTTGGCCGCATGGGCATTTCCGAAAGGTAGAGGGCGGCGATAGTTCGCCGCATGCGTCTTTGATAAATTCTACTAGAAGGCGAAAGGGTCGACGACAAAGCGAGAGGAAAAAATCAAGGTAGAATGGAGAGGAGGTAGGGCAGGGGAAAAAAGAGGAAAGTCGTAGCAACACAATGTGGCTCCCTCTGGCTAATCGCAAGAATGCGAGAGCCATGCTCTCATGCCACAAGATATCGAGAACCACCTCTGGTGGCACACTCTGGCCTCCAGGCCTGCCAAATGCCAATCACAATTGAACCCCACGTGAGAGGTCTACCGCGAACAGATTGTAAGCGGCAGTAAGCTGGCATGACCTGGCTTCAGATTATCGGCGCAAGATTTCCCTCCCCAGAAAAGATCGCGAAGGCAAAGGTGCGAACGATTCCCCGTGGCCTTCTAAACTTGTGCCAAGCAGGGGGCGCCCCGGACCGCCCAAAAATTAATCACACTTGCTCATCCAGTGACGAACAGCCAGTACTTCTGCACGATCCTCTTGAGCTGACCCAGGCACCCCCTCAACTCTCCCTCGCGCACTGGCATAGGAACAAGGAAAAACGGCACCACCACAACCAGCGCGAGGCGCCAAGGGGGGTTCTCCTGGCGTGGCGGTATGGCCCCTAGGGTAACGAAAGGTGCCAATACTGCTACTCCCGGGACCTGACTTTCGTGCACAATCCAGCCGTAGCGACGAGCAACCTCCAGGACGAGCAGCAGTACTAGTACATTTGCCTTCTCTGAACCTCGCCAGAGAAGGCGAGGAGGAGGAGGAGGAGGAGGACGAGGAGGGGGAGGAGGAGGAGGTGGAGGACGAGGAGTAGGAAGAGGAGGAGGAGGGGGAGGAGGAGGAAGACGAGGACGCGAGGAGGAGGAGGAGGAAGGGATAGGTGAGGGGTAAGGGGGAGGAGGAGGAGGAGGAGGAGGAGGAGGAGGAGGAGGAGGAGGAGGAAGAGGAGGAGGAGGAGGAGCCCCCCCACCCTGATGGTGGTGGTGTCGCCTCTCCTGCCTGCGATCGCAGGGCCCGCGTCGATGGGCCTGCGCAGCTCATCGCCAGAGCAAGGAAACGAGGAATCCAAGAGGGAGGCACAGCTCTGACAGGAAATCACCAAGAATCCATCTATACAGATATATATATATATATATATGCACATTCACTGATATGCAAATACACAAATACATATACAAATGCATATACATATACATATACATATACCTATACCTATACATATACATATACATATACATATACATTTACATTTACATATACATATACATATACGTATACGTATACATATACGTATACGTATAAACATACATGTACATATACATAAACGTATACATGTACATGCGCATGTATATAGACATGTACATATACATAGACATATACGTATACGTATACGTATGCATATACATATACATACACATATACATATACACATACCTATACATATACATATACATATACATATACATATGCACATGTATATGCATATACATATGCATATACATAGGCATATGCATATACAAATACATATACATATACATGTACATATACATATACATATACATATACATATACACATACACATACATAAGCATATACAAATGCATATACATATGAATATGCATATACATGTACATATACATACACATATACACATACATATACGTATACATATACAAAAACATATACCTATGCATATACCTACATATATATCTACATATAATCATACACATATACATAAACATATGCATATGCCTAGACATATACGTATACATAGACATAGACATATACATATACATAAATATATACCTATACATATACGTGTACGTATACATGAGTATACACACACGTTTATATTATACATATGCACCTACATATGCATGAACATATACACAAAACAAATACACATATACCAACCTACCTACCTACCTGCATGCATACATTCATGCACGCGTACATACATACGTACACACCTGCACACACACACACACACATGCGTACGTACGTATATGCATGCGTGCATGCCTACACGCATACATACGTACATACGTGAAATACGTACACACGTAGTTACATACATACATAGCTGCATACATACATACATACATACATACATACATAGATACAGTCATACGCGCATATCTATATATACACACATACATGCATGCGTGCATGCACGCATACATACAAACAAATATACATACGTGCATACATACGAATGTGTATACGAATATGCACACGTATATGTATATGTATATGTACAACCATCCCCCCCCCTTGAGGCCCAGAACGAATCCATTGGAGGTGGCTGCGTACATCTTTTTCCGTGGCGGGGGATACGTCGACCTCTGCCCCAGACTTCGCGGAGTTATCGAATGGGCCAACGGCCCAACTCGGAGTTGTACGACCCGGGGAGCGCCCATCCTCGATAGAGGCGCGGTCCGAATAGCCCCCGACGTTCCCTCCTCCTCTGGAACGACCTGGCTTGTCTCCGGGGCAGCTCGGGCATCGGAGGCGAAAGACCGTTCCCGTCTGGAAGCTCGAAATGGGTGCAGTAGAAGCTCGACCAGAAGAAACCTTCCACAAAAACCCAACCCTCAAACCCCAGGGCGTCCATTGATTTTGAGTGTGGGACCGTCACCGTTTCCATCGCGAGACCATCGGACCCCAAGAGACCCAGGCCACCCTGGAGGTAAGCAAACAGTTTCTTGGCATTGGCTTCCACAGTACAGAAAAATGAACACGATGCCCAACAGCAAGCGTTGTCCAAAAATCGACAGCGGCCGCTCTTGGGCAGGCGGGAGGCCTTCTGTCTCAAGAGGACAACGTCCGAGGCGGCACTGACAACGAGTCCCGTTCAGAACGAAAAAGACATGTTGTCGGTTTGTGTGCCCATTTTTTATGTACCCTTCTTTCGATCGTACCACGACGATGTTCAAAACGAACGTGCGCTTGAAACGGGAAACGAAACGAAGCCCAACGTTTCAAACGAACGTTTCAAACGAAACCAGTGCCAAGCGAAACGAAAAACGACCCGAGGTTTTCGAAACAGATCCGAAAGAACGAAGCGCAACAAAAAGCAACACGAAAACCAAACCAAAAACCAAAACCAAGATAAGCAGCGTTGTGATCGGCCCCCGGTTTTGGACCTGCTTCTCGCGTTAGGTCGGGCATGTCCCTCTACAGGCGGACTTGGGACGAATAATAAATACCCCAAAATATCAGCTTGGCGAAGGACCCAACCAAAAACACTTGTGAATACCGCAATTATGAATATAATATTCGCCCGCGCTCCCTATGGGGCCACGAACCGTGAGAGGGCGTGCCGACATGCATGGCGGGGCACACCACGCGAGCGAAGATGATAGGTCTGTGTGCGAGAGACTGAGAGCGAGTGAATCTGATTGTGGATGAGTCTGCGCGCGCGTGAGTCTACGTGCATACATTTCGACGCTCATGACAGCACGCCTCTCACGAGGATCGCACCCGCTTCCTTCCAGTTCTTCTTCTCCCTCTTTGCCCGTGCACACCCGTGTCCAAGGCTGCAGGCGCGGCGCCGCACGGAGTCCCCGCGACGCGCGCTGGTCGCCCCGAAGGGGTCCCGGCGACGCGCGCGGGTCGTCCGCTGCGCGGAGCCGAGAGAGCGAGCAGGCTGGCTCCCGCCCGGGATGCGCGGCCCGAAAGCGGCCTCAATACGTCGAATACGACGAAAAGCCTCCGAAAATCGAAAGTTGCCGCCATGCGAACTCCGCCACTGAGCAGCCGCCATGCGAGTTCCGCCACGAAAACCTTAGGTGCTCCCTGTGGGGACACGAAACGGTGTACTGGGTTGTGGATGACGCATGCGGGCGGTCCCACTGGGGCCTTCGGTGGAGCCCCCTTATGGGGCCACGAAACGCTGTAATGGGCGGTGGATGACGCATGCGGGCGGTGCCACTGAGGCCTTCGGTGGAGCCCTCTATGGGGCCACGAAACGCTGTACTGGGTGGTGGGTGACGCATGCGGGTGGTCCCACTGGAGTCTTCGGTGGAGTTCCCTATGGGGCCACGAAATGTTGTGCTGGGTGGTGGATGACGCATGCGGGCGGTCCCACTGGGGCCTCCGGTGGAGCTGGGGTCACGAAACGCTGTATTGGGTTGATGCGGGCGGTCCCATTGGGGTTTTCGGTGGAGCCCTCTCTGGGGCCACGAAACGCTGTACTGGGTGGTGGGATGACGCATGCGGGCGGTCCCACTGGGGCCTTCGGTGGAGCTCCCTATTGGGTCACAAAACGCTGTACTGGGTTGTGGATGACGCATGCGGGCGGTCCCACTGGGGCCTTCGGTGGAGCCCCCTATGGGGCCACGAAGCGCTGTTTTGGGTGGTGGATGAAACATGCGGGCGGTCCCACTGGGGCCTCCGGTGGAGCTACCTATGGGGCTACGAAACGCCGTAATAGGTGGGTGAAACGCAGGGCGGAGGGAGGAGCGGGAGGAGGAGGAACGAAGAAAAGGGGGAAGAGAACGCCGGGACCGTCTCTTCAAAACGGGGACCCAACACCACAGGACGGTTGGGAAATACATAATCAAGTCAAAAAATCGTCCCCTGACTAATTTTGACTATGTTTGAATACTCCTCCTATGGAGGGACAAGCCCGACTTAATTCCTCGCAGCGCAGCGCCCGATCGTCCCGACCCTGGGCCGCGGACCCCGTGGTCAACTCCCACTCTGCCAGCTACCTTCGTGTGGGACTCCTCGCACTCTTCCACTCGACCGATACCATCCGTATCTCATGTCGGCACTCAGGATTTCGATAGGGGGCCACGTGCGAGCCCTACCCCTACCCCCCTCAGAAATCGTGGGGGGTAGGGGTAGGGCTCGCATGTGGCCCCCTATTGCATTTCATTTCGACACTCAGGATTTCAATGGACGGGGGGGGGGGGTCGGATTTGGGAGGGGGTCTGATTTGACCTGTCTGGAAGATTCCGGGGGGGTCTGGGCAAGAGGTCGCCCTGTCATGGCTGGTCTGGGGGGAGGTCTGACATGGCTCGTCTGGGGAGGCTTGCGACCCCCGCCCCTGCAATATGAAATTCGGAATACCCATTCTGGAAAGAATGGGGCCGACCAGTGCCACGCACTGGGGAATCCATACCGCTACGCCCCAGAGTTCTCCTGGGGTGCGCTCTGACCAGAATTCCGGGGCGAATCCAGCGGCGGCGACGAGTGCCTCCCAGGAGGCCCAAAAAGGGGAGGGCAAGGTAGCAGAATAGGTACTTGTTCCTCCTCCTCCGTCCCGAACCTGTTTCGATCGCTCCGATCCTGGACCAGCTTCTCGCAGCGCAGCGCCCGGCTCTCCGCGATCTCCGCGCGCCGGCTGGCCTCGCCAACCTGGAGCAGGGCCTCGCGCAAGAGGCGGTCCGACTCGTGGTCCTCGCCGGGGGAGGGGCCGCGGGGAGGGAGGGAGGAGGAGGTCCGAGGAGGGAGCGAGGAGGAGGGAGCGAGGAGGACGAGGAGGAGGAGGAGGAGGAGGCGGAGGAGGAGGCAGCGGAGGAGGAGGTACAGGAGGAGGCAAAAGGGGATCGAGCAAGGGAACGCGGGAAGGGAGGGGAAGGAGGAGGGACCGAGGCCGAGGAGTAGGAACGACGGGGGACGATGGTGATGATGATGAAGATGATGATGTTGATGATGGTGATGATGATGGTGATGATGATAACGATGATGATGATGATGATGACGACGCTGGTGATGATGATACTGATTGTGATTGTGTTGGTGATAATGATGATGATGCTGATGATGGGGACGATGATGATGATGATGGTGGTGGTGGTGGTGTTGATGAGGATGATGATGATGTTGATGACGAATATGATTGTGGTGATGCTGATGGGGACGAGGATGAGGATGAGGATGAATATGGAGGTGGAGATGGAAAAGAAGATGGCAATTGTTATGGTGATTCAAATTCATATGCGAATGAATATGAACGAGATGGGTACGAATATGGAAGTGAAGATAATGATGGCGATAAAGATAAATGTGAAGATGAATATAAAGATGGAGACACCGTTGATGGTGGTGGTGGTCAAGTTGATGGAGGTGAAGATGAAGATGGAGATGACATGAACATGAACATGAAGATAAAGGTGATGAGGATGATGACGATCGATGTGAACATGAAGATGTAGATGAAGCTGTCAACGAAGATGGAAGTGAAGATGAATGTGAAAGCGAAAATGAAGACGTCGATAACGATGACGATGGTAATGATGATGATGATGATGACGATGATGTTGGTAGTGAGAATGGTGATGACTATGACGATAGTATTTGCGGTAAGGCTGATGATGATCACGATGATGATGACGAGGCTGGGTGCTGATGGCAGCGGTTATGGCCATTGTTATGATGACGATGATGATGATGATGGTACGGCTGATGATGTCGATGACGACGATGATGATGCTGCTGGTGTTGCTGATGTTGCTGGCGCTGATCACGCTAACGAAGATGAAAATGATGATGCTGGAGATGACGATGATGCGACTGGTAAAAGCAACGATGATGATAATAATCATGATGATGGTGGAAATCATGTCGATGAAAGTGGGGAACATGATGATGATGACAATAACAATAGGATGATGATGATGGTGAAGATTTGATTACCGCGAATGGGGATATTGATGACGTGGACGCCGATGATGATGATGTAAATGACGGTGAGGATGATGCGGATGCCGGTAAGACCACTGATGATGATGACAATGACGATGATGACGATGACGGCTATGACGATGCATATGACGATGATGATGATAAGATGATGATCATGGTGTTGGCGATGGTGTTGATGATGACGGACGATCGTGGCCATAACGGTGATAGCTGTGCTGCTGATGAAAGAGCGGGTGATGACGCGGATGACACAAATTATGATCATAATAGTGATGATGACAATGAGAAAGATGATGATGATGATGATGATGATGATGATGATGATGATGATGACGATGATGATAATAACGATGGTGATGTGAATGATGCTGATGACGATGAACTCGCCAACCGTGCATGCTGAGTCTGATGGTGGGCACTGCGGCGCCTGGCGAACGCGACATTGTTCCACAGCGGCTGACAAGGGCGAACCTGGGCCGCAAAAGCGACGCAGGGTCGGCCAGCAGCGGCCGCAAACACCACCGCCCAATGCCCAGCAACGGCCGTAGCACCACCGCGCAATGCCTCAGCAAGGAAGGAGGGAGGAGGGAGAGGCGGGGAGAAAATGAGGAGACGAAAAAGTGGGGATGTTGCGCGCTCGCATCGAACGACTCCATCATGGGGGCCCTGAACGGACTCGCCGTCCTGTCGGCCGGCACTGCGAAACCGACATCGCGCTGTCAGGAGGGAAAAAAAAGGCGGGGGCGGGGGTGACAGCGCGATCCTGCCGAGCGCCCCGAGCCTTTACGGAGTCACGCGCCCCGCCGGCAAGGCTGCCCCGCGCGCGCTCGGAGGCCACTGCCCCGGACCCCCCCCCCGAGGGGAGACCACAAACCCCAGGAAGGCACAGGACCGCCCGCGACGACGGCGACAACGACGACGACGCCGATGACGAAAGCGACGACGACGCCGACGACGACGACGACAACGAAAACAACGACGACCACGACGACGACGACAACGACGACGACGACGACGGAGACGACGACGACGACGACGCGCAAATCTCCCCCCCCCGCTGAAATCCGAACCGGCCCAACAAAACGGCACTGCGACACAAAGAAGGGAAGAGGAGGAGGACGAGGAGGAGGAGGAAGAGAAGAAGGATTATAGATGGAAAAAACAGGCGGCACGAGGGAAAGCTGTCCTGCGAGCGTGGCCGACATTCCATGCACCGCAAGCCTCAGACGCGGTGGCAGAAATTGCACTGGTAGCGCTTGCCCGTCAACGCCATGCTGCGTCGAGCGCCCAGGTTGCGCCTGCGCGGCCAACCACAAAGTCGCGGGCGGCCTGCTACAGCGCTCCCCGCGCCATGCGGGGCGCGCGCCGCGTCGCATGTTTCCACCGGTCGCGCGCGTTGCGCACTGCCGCTGCGCGGGGAGCCCACGAAGTCAAGAAACTGCGCTAGCCTGGCCGCGAAGGGGCCCGTGGGATCCAAGGCCCGCGCCGCGCAGTTTCGGCGACGGCGTTACATGACACGCAATGCTCAATGTTATCCATCGCGTTCCTGCGATCGATTATGCAAGTCAAGCCGCCCAGTGGCCCACCGAGACATCGGCGGGCAGCGACCCAGCCATTCTACAACACCCGCAAAACTGAAGCCCACACCCTCGGCAGGGCTAGCGGCGCCAAATGCTGCAACATCGGCGCTGCGCGCTCGCCAGGACGCTGCAGACCGGCTGGAAGCGAGCGCCATTGCAGACGCACCCCCATTCGGCCCACCACATGGGGCCGCTCTGTCGGGCCCCACGGCCCCAGACACACAGCGTCGGAAGCCCCGTCGAACGCGATGATCCACGGCCTGCGCGAAAGGGCGCGGCGGGCGCTCAAATGGATGAAGCGCAGCCCCCACCTCGCCGGCCCCAGCTCTGTCCGCCGCGTCCACCGACGCTTCAAGCTGGAAGACAGAAGCTCGACCCAACCAAGACGCCCACGCTGCGGCCCGAAACGGGGAGTCGCGTTGGCGGCGCCACTTTCGGAGCGCCCGCGCCCACGAGGCAATCTGCAACCCCCCCTGGCCGACGGCTTCCAGGTGGGCCACTCCGCACTGGGGGGCGACGACGCGGGCCTCGAAAACGATCAGACTCCTCCCAAAATTCCTAACAACGTCGATCGAGTGGGCAACGCCATTGGCCCGGGCCCGGCGCCAGTTGGCGGGCCGCCGCGATCTCCGCCCCACCCAGGGTGGAGGGGGCTCGCCCAGCTGCGCCACGGAAGCGCGCACCGGGAGCACGAGGACGGAGCACGCAGCCAGCGCGTGGAGCTGCCCTGCGCCGACAGCCCCCCGCGCCTGCGCGCGCCCGCTGCACTTCCGCCGCGGAGCGTCGCGCGCTCGGACGCCGGGCGCAGGTCCCAGGTAGACGCCCAAATACTTCGCGAGACTGGAAATGCGCACCCCAGCCCATCCGGGGCAAGCGCGGGACGACCACTGCATCGCGATGTCCGCGAGAAAGAGCGGCACCGCGATCGCCTTGGACACGTTCAACTGGAGGCTCGATATAACAGCGCATTCGGCGACGACGACCGCAAGTCTCGGCCGCTTGCGAAGGTAGTCTGGAACGACGACAGCGAGGTCGGCGGCGCAAGCCCGTCGAAGGCTGCCAACGAAAAAGTCGTCGCAGGCGTCGAAGAGTCAGGTGGGCGGCGACTGCGGAGCGGACAGCTTCGCCGGACACCAGCCTTCAGAGCGAACACCTGGGCGGCGGAGACCGGCGACGACAGACTCGCACCCGCTGTCTCTGCACAACCCGACGAGGAATTTCAGGCGCCAGCCGGGCTGTCGCAGGCGAAGGGGGGGGGGGGGGGCACGGCGACAGGAATCGCGGGCCACGCTCGGGGCCGCGGCGCGGACGTCGCAGAAGACGGCGGCGCCCCCCCCCCCCCCCGCATGCCGCGCCGCATCGCGTCGCGACCCACCGCGAATAAATTCGAGCAAGGAGCGACAAACCAGAGAGCCTCGCCTCATGTCCGACACCCACTCCGCCAACAAAAGCTGCAAACTCAGGCGCGCCGCTTTCGCCGGGGGGCGGTTCCGGCAGTTGGAGACGCCCAGGGGCCTCGCACCCGACGGCGCGCAGCAATCCCCGACGATCGCCGCTTGCCCCGCAGAGCTTTCCGGCAAGAACACCAAATTGGAGGACCGGCCCAGGCGCTGCCCGACCCAGGCTGGACCATCCGAAGCAGCCGCACCCAAGGCGGCCGCCAAGAGAATGTCCACCGCAAGACCCCCTGCGCAATCTCTGCTACGCCTGGAAGGGCGCGCGGTTGGGACCCAGCGCCGACGGCGGCGCCTGCCGCGGGCCATCTCCCACATCGCCCCGGCGAAATTGCCATTGCGGGCCCGCCTCTGGTGGAGGCGCACCCTCGCGAGACTCGCGCGGCAGCGGCGGCGGCAGCACTTCCACAAGCCACCAGGGCGGGAGGGCCGCGTCGCATCGGCGAGCGCGAAAACAACGCTCCAGCGCGCCCGGATCGCCTGCGCAATGTCCTCCGGATTTGTCGAAAACCTGCCGCCCTGCAGCTGCAATGCGCGCGCGCCAGATCGACCCGGGCGCAGCCGCGACGATCTCAACGCGATGCGCCCACGGCGAACCCAGGCTTCATCATCCGACGACTCGGGGAGCTCCGGGCGCAGGCCCCGGAGATCTGCGATCGCCGCGTCGCGCGATTGCTCGACGGCGCGACGGCGGAGGGAGCAGAGACCATCGCGGAGG